TTAAAATATTTAGTGCCGTAATTAGTTATTAGATAAAATGTTTAACCCGTTTGTTTCGGTTTGTTCATAATTAATATTATTTTTAAGAAAATGTTGTGATATATTAATCAAAACTATTTATAAAGAGTGTTAGCGAAAATACGATATTCATTCCGAAATATTTTGTTAAATTTAAACTATAATAACAATGTGCAAATGTACAATACAATTTTGAACCAAAAAATGAGTAACTTTTTATATTTTTGTAAATTTCAAATAACAATGCTACATTCATGCGTTGCATTGTACATGAATTTACAATGTGAATTACAAACCTTACAGGTAAATCGGTAAATTTAAATCTTTCGGAATCATCAAAATAACGTATTACCGAACTTGTGAATTCTTGTTGTAAATTTAAGTTAATGATAGCTGACACATCTTAATATATTCTGTACAAAATATTTCAATGAAATGGTTCACTAAAAGTTTAATGGACCAATTACGGGCCACTAAATCTTGTTCAAGGGACCATTAGCTCACTATTGATTCATTAAATGTTGTGTGTGTAATCCAGCATTAATGGTGTTTAAAAATGATTGATTAATTATAATTATATTATGACTGATAACATAAATTTGTTTATTGTATTATATTTTTTTTTTCGTCTACATTTGTGCTATATTATATAATAATGTAATCAGAGAAATTAATGTATAGTTGTAAACAATAATTATTTATAAATAAAAAAAAAATAGCCTAGATAAATTGTACTTTATATTTCTTTAACATAAACAATATTATATTAATGTTTGTATTTATCGAAATGTATGTATAGGTAGTACACAATTTTTAGTAGTAGTAGGTGGTTGGAATTATTGTGTAAGATAATTATTTATGTAAAGAAAACAAGAAATCTCTTGATACATTTCAGAATTAATAATAATTAAATAATTAGGTATTTATACATATATTTATAATATATTATAATTATATTAACATTAAAGTAGGTTCCTATTTTACTTCTATAGTTATGTTTGGAAGTGTAATAACACAAATTAATCAGATTTTTTTAACAAAAGTTGCTAGTTACTATTTTAGTTTAAACTAAAATAATTTGTTCATAAGTTCATTGATTCTAGCCTTTTGATTTACTTATATATTTTTTAATGTTTATTTACAGGAATATATTACTCTACATGGGACTTTACTATCCTAGTTAATATTGTTTGGTAAAACAAAATCAGCAATTTGAAATTTAACTTAAAGCTGCAATTCAACAAATTGCACATGTCTCAGAAGTGATGCAATGAAGTATTAAGATGTAATGTTTGTTCACCAAAAATATTTTCTTAATCTTAAACATTATTTATACATACTAATTTAATATTGTATTGTATATAATAAAATACTAATCATTCTTTGTTTAAATTTGTGAAAAGTGTATGCTGTCATTCAAACAATGCACCACGTGCATCTATAAGTTATCAAGAATCATAATATTTATGTTGGAAAAGAAATAGATAATATAATATTAATGTATAAAAATCAAACAATATTATAACTCATCACTTATAGTTGCTTGTTACTTGTTTTTTCTTTTCAGTTTATATTTTTTAGTAGGTTAATGAACCGCCTGATATATTGTGTTTATCTAGATTCTAGAGTATATACTTAATCGTAGTGACAAAGTTATACATTAATATTATCTGCTTGGTTGTTGTGTGATTGATCATGATATTTTAAACAATATTGAATTGTTAATTTTTTAATTGCTGACATTTTATTTTATCGAAATACAGATAAATGACATTTAAATTAAATTTGTGTCGTTTTCTCTTTTGTCGTTATCAGGTGCTGACGAGTCTACTGCAATGCCACTTATGTATCGTTGTCCGAAAAACTGTGGTCGACGATATACACGAAAAGATTCAATGAACCGACATGTAACATATGAATGCGGTGTTGAGCCACAGTTCAAATGTAGTTTTTGTAATAAGACTTGTGCCCAAAAGTATAATCTTAAAAAGCATATGATCACTGTGCACAATTATATTAATTTTAACCACTCCTAATTATCATATTACATATTTAACTTTATGAATATTAAAAATGTGCAAATGTATGTTAATTAGAAATACTTCTGTTTTTTTGTTATACTATTAACTATTTAATTTTACAGATATTTTTAATTCATATTATTTATTTTTTGTTTGTTGTGGTGTGGTTTGAAAAATGTATAACAATAATTTACTATGATGTACAAAATACAATATATACATGTTTGGGTTGAAAAAGTGTTACTACAAAAAAAATAAAAAAATTTTCAGCAATATTTTATACTATTATACGATTATACTTTCCCGAAGTAATTGGTAAATTGATGATTATAAATAAAAAAAGGTACAAAATTAATAACATTCTAGTGTTTATATATATGTTTATTGTATATATTATGTGTATTTAATAATGTATGTAATATAATATGTAATAATACTAATAATTAATTATAACGGTGCTTTATGGCTATAGTTAACTATTAACAAAATATGATTGTTATAATAATAATATTTATTCATTTCATTCTAATGACATTTATTTTTTATTTTAGAATTAAGAATTACAACTAAACCTAAGTCAGAGTCATTTCCGGTTTTATCAACATCTACCATTCCTCAAAAACCAGAATCACAAAAACAGGAACCAAAGAAATGTTCTGTATCTGAAACTAAAACAGAAAATTGTTATCGATGTAAAAATTGTAAAAATATAATTTTAGGTCCAAATGCTGAAAATCTATATGTAGAACATATCATGACATGTCTTGATGCAAACAATTTTGAATGTTCAATATGTTTTAAAAAATTTGCCCATAAACGTGGTCTTACTAATCATTTAAGACTTACTCATTTAGTTTTTGACTAAATATTTAACAAAATATGATAAACAATAACTTGAAATATATCTACTGATTATTTCATCGAATAAACACTAATTTTATTTACACTAATAGCTTTTTATTAATTGTTAGTTTTGGCATAGAGCTTGTAAGATATTTCATTATTTTTAAAAATAGAATATCCATTTTCTTTTCTTTTATTAAAATTAATTGTTATTTATTACTTTTTAATTAAAATCACAGACCTTATACAAAGAGTATATACAATATTGTTTCAGTAATATTAATAGATAGGAAATATAAGACTTTAATTATTTAATTTTTATATTTAATGTTTTGAGTAAGTAGACAACGAACAATGTTAGTGAATTTAAGCTACTATAACAAGGTTAGTTTTATGAACATTAATATATAAAGTTATCCCACCATAATAATAATAATGTAGGTACATAGTTATGACAGAAAAATTTGAAACAAAGCATGTCCTTTAAATGTATATTACTGTTAGTATCTGTTTTAGTATCTGTTAGTTATATAATAATTTTTGTATTTTTAGTGTATTTTTAGTATATATTTGTCTAAGATTAAAATCAAAATTATTTGCCTATGCTTTTAACATTTTTACCCCAATAATCATTGTAACATAAATACTAGGATTATTCTGTTTGTTATTATTATTAATATTGTTATTATTAGTTGTATAGCTATGTGCTTGCTAAATCTAATTGTAGTTGTAGTTTAGTTACAACCTAATTGTATAATATAATTAATAATTTGTACAGTAAGTACATAGTTATGGCTTAATGAATACTTTTTCGGTGCAAATATCATGTAAAAAATATAACCTTATAAGTAAACACTTTTAAATACATAAAAAAAGCTTATTGTGCACAATTAATAATTAATAATTATTATCGATAACCTTATTGGAAAATGAAAAAACCCGATACATGAACAAATCATCAAATAATGAACTTGTGATAGTAATTGATAATGCATTCTAAATTTAGTGTGTAGACTTAAATAATAAATAATAAATGTGAAAAAACCAAACTAATTTATTGATCTATCTATACAGATACTATGTTTTGGCTGCCAAATTGGATGAATTGTACAAAACAACCCTTCAATTTGTCCCAAAAATTGTGGTCGAAAATTTGGAGGACAAAATCGAAAAGGTAATCTTAAATTACACCTGCTGAGAGAATGTGGAAAACCTGTAACTTGCCTAATGTGTATGAAAAAATTCAATAATGTAATTTAAATGAAATCATTTGGGAACTGTTCACAAAATTATTTATAGTTCTTAAAATTTAAAGAATATTGATTTATTGTATGTTTAGTTCTTACTTTTATTATGTTAACTATGTATATTAATATTCTTAGTGACCAAACATAATATTCCAGACATTGAACATGTTATTATTCAGGTATATTACTTTTAATCTTCCAATTTTTAAAACTCTAAACGGATTTGTTATATCATCTTATTTTTAATAACTTTGTACTGGTATAAGATTTACAACATGTATAATAATATTATGATGTATACTCCATAATTAAAATATAATATTGAACATTGATACAAACTTTTTATTAATAATAGTTATTTTTTATTGTCATCCTTTTACAGGAAATACTGATTAGTATTACTGGAATGTTTGATACCCAGTAGGTTTGTTGTATTAATAATATTTTCATATTAAACATATGCTTAAAACTGAACACTAATGAAAGACTAGTTTTGATATTGATTATTAAAATAAATATTATAATACTCATACCAACAATAGTTATATATGGTTTTGATTATATTATAAACATATTTGGCTTAAATATTAAATCTTTTTTTTTGAATTATTTTAATGAAATCTTTATTGGCTGTTGCATTATTTAAACCAAAATAAAAATTAAACAATTATTATTATTGATATGGCCTCAGTGTTGGCTGCACAACAAATAATTATATAATTAAAAGTGAGATTTTGCCATTTTTATGTATGATTTAAAAAATTAACAATATCTAACCAGCTTGAATTATATTATTTTGGGGTTGTTATATCGTTGACTGTATTGAACATTTTATTTTATTGTGGTGTACTTACTTTTACTTTCAGACTATATGTTAAAAAAGAATGATGTGTACGCTAATGAAAATCCTGTGTATTGCCCGAAAAACTGTGGACGGTGTTACAAGGGTATGTGGCGTAAATACAACTTGCAGAAGCACTTGAAATATGAGTGTGGAGTAGCACCACAATTCAAATGCCTAGCCTGCCCAAAAAGCTTCTCGTTGAAAGCAAATTTGAAAATGCATATGCTAGTTGTTCATAAAATAATTTTAGGAACTAATCACAATATTCTGTCATAATAGTTTTTGACCATTATATATTTTGACTTTAATCACACAATAAAGAATGTTAACTTTTAATTTAGTGCCATATATACAATTCGTATATAATATATTATAATATGTTTACCAATTAATTTTTAATTAGTATTGATTTACTGTTTAAATTAGTATTTTGTTTTTTTTTTTTTTTAATTTCAAATATATATTTAAATTAAATGGCAAAAAGTGTAAATTAACACTGTTTGTTAATTTAAGCTGTATATTATTATTCTAGTATTTTGATAGGAATACAAATTGAATTCCACTTAACAACTATAGGTACTGATAATAGTTTAGAATTTAAGCTCAATTCAAGCAACAGTATATGGTATAAAATTATTATATTGATGTTGAATAATTTTAGAATTTTAGATTTTGTTATAGTTACCATATTATTTCTTCAGATAAGAGATTTGGTAGTTACTCATTTGAGTTTTGTTTATATTAGTTACCAAAAATAAATTTATAATACAAGTATAAACATATATATTATAAATTATAATGTTATGTCTATATTATTTTCAAATTATCTTAATGTTCAACTATGTAAACTTTTTAATACTTATTGATAAGATGTCCTTTTATTCAAATTAAGAATATTGATGAATATATGTGAATAAAATGAAATTTAAAACCATAAATGTATACAATATGTCTTACACAATTTTTTATATAATGCAATATAATTAATAGTATGTTTTTTTCAGTTTCTTTCATATGACTACGTATAACATATATTATATTGTTGATGTTCACTCATTGACTCCTGGCAACAATTAGTAAATTAATTAAATCATTTAAATCTATACATATTTTACTTTCATAGGTAGGTAACAAGAAATTTGTTAGAAAACTGTCATTTTTTTTACAATTATCATTGAACATAATATTATTGAGTGTTTGATATTTTTATGACATTGTTGCACATACGTATTTATAAAAACTATTACCTTTTATTTATGTAAAACTGTGTATCAGGAATTCATGGGGTTGTATTACAATATTAAATTTCCTTCACAAATATATAAAATTATAGCATAAAATTTCATTCTTATCCTTAAGTACCTACTTATTAATTAAAACTTGTTAAATCACTTATCACGTATCATTTAAAAAAACATATAAATAGTTGCTTTGCTTAAAAAAAAAAAAAGAGCCACATAATATGAATTTTTATTGGTACCTATTAATTAAGATTAAGCTGTAGTTGCTGTACCAATTGTCACAATGCATGTTTTCAGATCAAAATATACTACTACGCCATGTAGAAGATGCTGCAAAATATGATCCGGCACATTGTCCAATGAATTGTGGGAGGTTTTACAAAGGTCAGCATCGAAAAATAAATCTCCGTCGACACATATTTGAGTGTGGAGTACAACCAAGATTCCCTTGTACCTTATGTATGAAACGGTTTTTCCGAAGGTACCAATTTAAAATACACATGGAAAAAGTGCACAAAGTATACCCTTCTAATCTGCACAATCACAATGAAAAGTGAACAGTCTTAATTAAATGGTATTAAAAAAAACTATTGCACGTCAATTTTTATGTATTTGTTTTATAGACTAATAAAATATTGATATTTCAGGATATTTATTCACTTGATCAAATTTAATCATAGTCATTCATTTTATATCAGTGTAATCATTTAATCTAATTAGAGTCAATAATATTCATATTGTATTATGTAAATGTTTATATTAATACTTTGATAAAAAAAAAAAAAAAGAATACAGTCGAGTAAAATTAAATCAATAACTTCCATTTTAAATAATATAATTTTCTATTGTTAACACTATACAGTTTATCCAAAAATCCCGTATTTCTGGAAAATCAATATATTTAAATGCAGTATTTTTACAGTGATAAGAATGGAAATTCCAATTGAATGTCATAAGATTCAATTTTTTTTTAAAAATATTTTATGTACGATTAAGTTATTTTAATTTTTAAGATAGTAATTTTTGTGATCATATCTTTTAGAACATAAAAAAAAATATCGAGATTGAATCATGTGATTTGTATCTTGCTAACATGACTGTTATTCTTTGAAAAACTTTTACTTATTAAGTTTAATTTGCTTTAACTTGGTTGATTTTTTCACCAAGTTGGGACCTAATTGGATTTTCATTTTTATTTTTTTTTTTGAACTGCTTAAAAAAATAAAAAATATATGGGGCAGTATTGAAAATTTAAAAAACTTAATTGTAAAAAAATATTTTTGAACTTTCAATTGGGAACTGCCATTCTTATTACTGCAAAAAAACTGCATTTTAATACATTGATTTGCCTGCATGATACTTTTGGGATATACTGTAAAATAATATACCTATGTATTGTTTTTAAATTGAAATTTGTCATATTATTATACTTAGGAACAATTTTTTTATGCTGAATAAAAAAATACTTATAGTTACTGACAATACTATTTTTGTACTTTTTAATGTTATTATTTACTATTAAAATTGGGTATGAATATTTCCATTAGTAACCAGATAATCATAATTTTTATGACCATTATAAAATGATATGTAATATTTATTAAAAAATGAACTTTCAAATACCAAGTAAAACCCTATTGATCTATTAATTTAATCGTAGTTGAGTATGCAAGAGAACTTTTAATTTTTTTATCCAATTTAGCCATATAGCCTATAGGTAGCAGAATTCAGGATTCATGTGAGGTATGTATAAATAAATTATAAATATTAGTTTTTGTTAAACCTACATTTTTTAGTTCAAATATAATAACGATGACTATTCTTATACAAATGGGAAAAATGAATATGATTAGTAAAATTGTTCTAATAATAATAATAATAATAATAATAATAATAATCTAATATTTTATTAATACTGAAATATTGTGTTATAGGTATCATTCATATTAATGGTGAGCGTGATAAAAATATCTTATTCACAAATTAATTTATGTTACCTATTAAGTGCTTGTACATTAAATAAATAAATAAATAAATTTGTTTGAACACTTTCAATGTCTATACTCTGTTCAGGGAGAGACTGCACCTCTCACCTACAAAAACTGGTTCCCCCACACAACACCCAGCCATTGGGGAGTCTGTTTCAATAGCATGGTGACCAGAGGGATTGGCAGAATCGTTATGCTCTCTCGCTGTACAGAGTATAGAAGGACAACAATCATAGTTTTAAAATTTTTTTATATTGTCATCATTTTTGCAGTATATTGTTTTCATATTATAATATGTTGTATTAGAAATAATAAGTTTTGCGATTGATGACATGCCGCTTTCGTGGTAGTTAACAGGTTTATTTTATATATGTATACATAGCTTAAATGATAATCATTTCGCTTTCAAAATGTTTTGTTCAAAATATTTACTAAAGGCAATACTGACATTGGTCACTCATGAGTTAATATCTATTTTGATTATATTTACAGGTGTGTTGACAAATGTTCAAAAGGTATTGGAATCCGACCCAGTTCCGTGTCCGAATTACTGTGGTCGTCTCTATAGGGGTCCACAGCGAAAATGTAATCTAAGAAAACATTTGAAACTTGAGTGTGGAGTGGCACCCATGTTTTCGTGCAGAATATGTTTAAGGAGATTTACTAGAAATGAAAACTTAAAACGACATTTAGTAATTGTTCATAGAACAATTAAAAATATTAAGTGAGAACTTATGTGACTGTAAAACTGTGGAAGTTTACAGTTTAGTTGATTTAACTGACAATATTTTTGGTAATATCTATGTTGATGTTTTAGTATTCATTCTTGAAGTGATAGTATCAACTGTATCTGAAATCTAGTTGGACCACAATATTTTTCACTGCAAAAGATAAAGATATAAAGTGGTGAATTTTCATTGTTCTTAATAATATTTTATTTTAATTTATTTTAAATATTACATGTGATATTAATTTTATATTGTTTATAATATTTTTATTGTCTGAAAAGATATTTTTTAAGAAAATACTCTTGACTTTTAATAAAAAAATATTATTGTAAGTTGCGTTTTTATAATTTATATTTATATTTATTATTTTGAGTTTTAATGAATAATGTAAAAAAAATAATGCTATGCATGGTAGGTATAGTTATTTTGTTAACAATAAAATTTGTATTTTACAATAATTTTAATTTTAATACGCAATAGAAATTTACTCGATTAATTTGAAATATCATATTATACAAAACATCTTATATATGATATAGTTATACATACATGCTGTTTCACAAATTCATTATTCTTCAAGATATTAGAAATTAATGCAAGTTGTGCACAAGATATTTGTTACATAAATAAATAATGTAAATTAGTTGAGAATTGATTTTTTGACCACTAATTAAGAATTGATAAACAAAACCTATACTGCAGTATTCTATTTATAGTGGGCTTATTTTATTTCAGTAGTATAATAATTTATATATGTTTTCTCGTGTATAAACATGTGATATTTATTTAATTATTATTAATCAATTAATATTTTTAGGTTGAAGACATCTGTAGATATCTATGTATGACCATTAATGCCTAATGGCCATATTATGTACAATGTGTGAATTGTTTACACGTTTTTTGTACATATATACCATAATATTTGTGATAAATGAATTAGATTTTGATTAAACCAACTAAAGTATTAGTATAACATACAGCTTATATATTATATATAATTTTAATTTAATTTCAATTAACTCCTCACTAAAATATTTTTTGAAATGAGTAAATTATCACATTAAAATTTAACATGTGTGTTTGTTTTATAAACCCTGATGACATGTGATGTAATAAATTGTAATTAAGTGCTTTTTATGTAATTTGCATGAGTACCTATCACTGAAATTAATTAATTAATATTATTGGTAAGCAATGTATTACCCATTTTCTGTTATTATCATTTATAAATTAAATATTAATTTGTTTTAAATTTTACACTGTTGTAGTTACCATGTTTGAAAGATTAACCTTGGAAGATCCTGTTTTTTGTCCAT